AAAAAAAAAAGAAAAAGATTTTTATAGATATCACACAATTATGCAAATTTGGGCCGATAATATCCGTCGACCAATGTTATCGCAGATCCATAAATAACAAAATTAGGATCAATCTGGACCTGATCTACAAATAAAGGGTCTTTGAAAGCCTTTGTAGTAAAACTGTATATGTTTGATCGATGAACAAAGACAACAACAAAGGAGAACATGCACGTCGTTCCAGCCCTTTATTCTACAGACATTTTAAAGAGCAAACGCCAGACCTCCTCCAGCTTCCCGTCTTTTGAGGCTTCTGCGGTAATTTACCTGTGTCATTTGTCATTCCATACAAACATCATTAGTTCATTTGGTGCTTAATACCAGCGCTGGAGCCAGACACCATTTATCTTAATGATGAGGATAGCCACTGCCAATGGTTATGACTGCAGCCACGACAAACAGCCAACTGGAGGATTAGCAGAGTGTACGGGCGTCCAGGATATGAATCAAACTTCTCAATATTGCATTCAGCCAAGCAGTATCTCACATTCACCAAGGGGGAAATATATGTCAAGCTTTCTACAACATTGACCTAATTATCAGCACAATGGCTGTCAGGGCACTGACCGCACTTTAAAGGGATATTTCATGTTCTTTTTTTTTTTCTTTTCTTCTATGGCTGAATAAAGAACTGATCAAAGTCGGTGCTGGAGCCAGAAACTATCCTGAGATGTTGATGCTGAATGTTAGCCAGTGAACAAAAATGAAAATCCAATAAAAATCTACACCAGTGTCAGTCTGTGGACGGAGGCTGCAACACTGAAGACTAAAAGAGAACGAAATTTTATCATTTTACCACCAAATAAATAGACAATAAAAAGAGCTTTCATGACGGCAGTAGAAACCTGCTGTACCACATCAATTAACACTGGTCCCATAGCGCCTCCTACAGGCAATGTTTAACTTCATCTATATATAAATATATATATTTTATATATATACACATTTGTGAGTATATATGTATATATTAATATATATATACATATATTTATATATATATGAACATATATATACATATATAAAACTTTGTTCTTTAACAAACCTTTGTTCTCAGTGATAAAGTAACAGCAAAGTTGAAGAAGGCAAATCAACATTTTTCCATTTCAGAGGACACCAAAATTACCAATTTTCTGCTGCCTCTTTTTTTTAAGTCTGCATGAAATTGACAGAATAAACCAAATATTTCAAACACTTAAGTCTCAAAGTAACAAATTACAAATTCCTGATTAGGGTAACTGGCTTGTGCTAGTGTAAAATCACAAACTTATAAACAAGGAACATTAAAAAAAAAGTCCTTTCCAGTTGGCTACGTCAGTGACGCAACTGTGTTTCTAAAAAGCTGAAATACTGAGTTGTGTGTGAATTCAGATCATGGTTCTTTCCATCTGAGCATTGGAAGCTGCACGTGAAAATTGCTAGCAGTTCTTTACCTTTGGTCCAAGAAGAAGAAACACCTTCAACCAATATTCAAGTCCATTTTTCACATTAGTCCATTATTTCTCCAAGGAAACCTACGGTGCGTTAACCAATCAGAGCAGGACTCCAGTGAATGACATCGGACACACCACAACAGTGGGCTGAGATTCAAACTTGCAATCCTCCAATTATTAGCCTAAAGCAATTACCACCAAACCACGACACCCCCCCCAACCCCCCACACACACACACACACACACTTCCTCTACCAGTTTGTGTTTTTTTTTAAGGTTGAAATTCTATTTGTGAAGATGATGAAATCAAGTCAAACCAAATGTGGAAAGTGTTAGAGTCCAATTGTTAAATATTTTTCTCAGGTACAAAAAGGGGGGTTTTTTTTTTAGTCAACTGTCATTTGGGGGACGACGGTGAAAACTACGGTTTAAGTCTGGTTTAAAGCCTGGATTATTCACAGTGACTACCAGACACCTGCTCCTGGGACAACATCACTTTATTCCTTCAGAACTTTCACAGACCCCCCCCCCTCCCTCCCTCACCCCTGCACCCCCACCACACAACATATCCATTTCAAAGAGGGTTTTTTTTTTCTGCACACACACACACACACACACGCGCGCCCTCCCCATGTC